GCTACAACCCCAGCCCCTCAGAGGGCTCTTAAAATTGTTTTTCTGTCTCTCAACATTGCATTGAAATCCTTTTTCCTTTTTTGTCCCCCAGACCACTTCACTGATAAGCAAATTCTTATCCTGTTTGTAATCACAAAATATTCTATATAGTTTCCCACAGAGGATAACATTTTACTCTCAAGCTTTTTTCTCTCTTTAAATTTTTTTTTTTTAATTATGGCAAAATACAACAAAAATTACCATTTTGACAATATTTAAATGTACTAATCCCTTGATGTGTACCTGGCTTGGTTCTATCTTTTGGCTATTATGAATAAGGCTGCTATGAAAATGGGTACATAAATATTTCTATAAGATCTTGTTTTCATTTTTGGATATATGTCCGAAAGTGGAATTGCTGGTTCATATTTCTTTTTAAAAATTTTGGGCTTTTTTTTAAGTATATTCTTATTGTTGTGCAACCTCCACACTTATATACCTTTAGAACTTTTTTCATCTTCCAAAATGGAACTATGTTTCTATTAAACAATAACTTCTCACTACTCCCTTCCTCTAGACTCTGGCAACCACCATTCTACCTTTTGTGTCTATAAAAATGATTTTTTTTTTTCCTTGTACTGGTGATTGAACCTAGGATGCTCTACCATTGAGCCATATTTCCAGTTCTTTTTATCTTTTATTTTGAGACAGGGCTTCGCTAAGTTGCTGAGGCTGGCCTTGAATTTGGGGTCCTTCTGTCTCATCCTCCAAGTTTCTGGGATGACAGGCATGTACTACCAGCCTGGGCTCGTCTTTATGAATTTGATTTACTCAGTTCAAATAAATAGATATGCAGTTATCTTTCCTCTGACAGGCTTTTTTTCACTTACTTAGCATGATCTCAGGTTGTCCATGTTACAGCATGTGTTAGAATTTCCTTCCTTTTTAAGACTGAATTGTTTGTTCACATTTGTTTATCTATGCCTCCCTTGATGTGCACCTGGCTTGTTTCTATCTTTTGGCTATTATGAATAAGGCTGCTATGAAAATGGGCACATAAATATTTCTATAAGATCTTGTTTTCTTTTTTGGATATATGTCTGAAAGTGGAATTGCTGGTTCATATTTCTTTTTAAAAAATTTGGGCTTGGGCTGGGGATGTGGCTCGAGCGGTAGCGCGCTCGCCTGGCATGCGTGTGGCCCGGGTTTGATCCTCAGCACCACATGCAAACAGGGATGTTGTGTCCGCTGAAAACTAAAAAAATAAATATTAAAAAATTCTCTCTCTCTCTCAAAAAAAAAAAAAAATTTTGGGGGGGGCTTTTTTTCCCTGCCCTTGGTACCAGGGATTGAACTCAAGGTTACTTAACCGCTGAACAACATCCCTAGCCCTTTTTATTTTTTATTTGGAGATAGGGTCTCACCAAGTTGCTTTGGACCTTGCTAAGTTCCTGAGGCTGGCTTTGAACTTTCTATCCTCCTGCCTCAGCCTCCTGAATTGCTGGGATTATAGGAATGCATCATTGCACCCTGCATGAGCTTTCTATATTTTAAAGTCTATTTAAATTCTTTGTTCTCTGAAATATTTTCTAAATAGAAATATGGGCAGATTACTTAAAAGGGATGGAAGGACTGGGGTTGTAGCTCAGTGGTAGTGTATTTACCTAGCACTTGTGAGGCACTGGGTTCAATTCTCAGCAGCACGTAAAAATAAATAAATAAAATAAAGGTATTGTGTCCATCTACATCTTAAAAAGAAAAAAAAGGGGGCAGATGGAAAATCTAAAAAAAAATTTTTGAAACTAGGTGTGACTGTGTTTATAGTCCCAGTTCAGGAAGCTGAAGCAAGAGGCTTGCTTTAGCCCAAGCGTTGTAGGCCAGCAATACCCCTCAACAACAACAAAAATAAAAACTTTGAAAAGCAGTTGATTGCATGTAAATGTTTAACAATTAACTTCAGGGAAGGTAGAATGCAGTCTCTTAGGCTTGGGCTAGGAATGAGAGACCAAGCTGTAGGAAATTACCTTTTGCCTTCTGTAAGTTCTAAGGACTGTGGGTTTTATCCCTGACAAATTCAAGCCAACACATTTAAGATCCTTTAAAAATATGCAGAATTTCAAAAACTTAATTTATCAATTATACTATATTTAAAAATAAATTACTTTTCGTTTGGCACGGTGGCACACACTTGTAATCCCTGCGGCTGGGGAGGCTGAGACAGGAGGATCATGAGTTCAAAACCTGCCTCAGCAATTTATCGAGGTACTTAGCAACTCAGGGAGACCCTTCCTCTAAATGAAATATAAAAAGGGCTGGGGATGTGGCTCAGTGGTTAAGCACCCTTGGGTTCAATCCTCAGTACCAAAAAAAAAAAAAAAAAGAAAAAAGAAAAACAAAACAAAAAAAAAAACAAACTACTTTTAATACTCTGATATATATCCTTCCCAACTTTTCTATTTATACACATATACATAGTTTACAAAAAGAGGTTATACCATTTTCATAGCTATTAAAAAATTTTTTTTTAGTTGTAAATGGACACAATACCTGTATTTATTTTTATGTGGTGCTGAGGATTGAACCCAGTGCCTCACACGTGTGAGGCAAGCACTCTATCACTGATTTATAGCCCCAGCCCTCTCATAGCTATTTTTGCATTTAACAATTCATAAATATAGTACTGTGTCAAATCAGTCTGTTATCATTTAAGAAATTAATGTTTTTTTAAGATTATAAAAGTAATAACTTTATTGCAAATACTATGAACTATATAAAGTAAAAAGTGGCCATATCCAATAGTTGTTGTTTGTATACCATCATTTTCAGTAACTACTTGGTATTCTGAATATTGACTTCTTTTGTTGGGGGTGTTGGGAATTGAATCTAGGGCCTCAGGCATGTTAAGCACACACTGTGTAACTGAGCCATATGTATTGGAACTTTTAAATGTAAATTTTCATCCAAATTCAGTCCTTGTATACTAATGATGGTCTGTGGCAGTAGTCTCCATTTTTCTCCCTTAGAGGTTTACTACAGAGCATATGCTAATACCCAAGTTAAGTAAATTGGGGTTGTCTAGATTGCTACTATAGTATTGCTACTATTGTATATAGTATGTTATCTTTTCTTGAATACTTTGTGACTCTTCAAGGTCTCTAATTTTGGTGGTACACATCTGTATCTCTTTTGTTAATGGGTTATTTGTAATAAAGGTAACTGTGACTACACCTGATATAAATTTGTTCTGTGTTTTACCTTAACCATAGTTCCTGCCAGAGGTACAAAAATACTCAATAACTGATGAGAATGTCAGTGACTCTAGGCAGTACTGGATCATTGTTAGTGTTTGATTAATATATGACAATAGCTATTAGTATCTTAATTTAAATCTAAGAAAGATTTATGGAGTAGTGACTTCAAAGTGTTAAGTATTAGCCGGACTTGGTGGCACATGCCTGTAATCCCAGTACTTGGGAGGCTGAGTCCAGGGATTGCAAGTTTGTTGCCAGCCTCAGCAGTTTAGGGAGAGCCTGTCCTTAAAAAAAAAAAAAAAAAAAAAAGGGCTCTCTGAAGTTCAGTTCCCAGCAGGGATAGAGGGAATTAAGCAGTTCTTATCAAGGTATAGGAGTAAACACCTGTAATCTGACTTGCTAAAGAGGGTTAGGATCCCAATTTGAGGCCAGGCCAGGTAAATTTAGTGAGACCCTGTCTCATAATAAAATTTTATTTCATTTTACTTTGTTTTTGTACCAGAGATTGAACCCAGGGGTATTTAACCACTAGCCACATCCCCAGTCTCCTTATGTTTTATGCTAAGTTGTTTAGGGCCTTACTAAAGTGCTGAGGCTGGCTTTGAACTTCCTATCCTCATGTTTCAGCCTCCTTAGTTGCAGGAATTACAGGTGTGCACCACCATGGCTGGCAAACATAATAAAATTTTAAAACAAAGGGCTGTGAATATAGGTCAATGGCAGAGCTCTTGCCTAGCATTTGTGAGGCCATGGGTTTAATCCCCAGTAATGGAAAAACTAAAATAAATTTCTAGAAGGGCTGTAGGTATAGCTCAGTAGTTTATCTCTTGCCTAGCATGTGTGAAGGCCTGTGTTTGATCCTCAATAACACACACACATAGTCCAAGATAGTAAAAAAAAAAAATTTTTTTTTTTTTTTTTTTTTTTTTTTGGTACTGGGGATTGAATCCAGGGGAGCTTAACAACTGAGCCAAATCCCCAGCACTTTTATATTTTATTTTGGAACAGGCTCTCACTAAGTTGCTTAGGGTCATTTAAAATTGTTCAAGCTGATTTTAGAATTTCAATTCTTCTGCCTCAGCCTCCCAAGCCACTTTTTAGAAAATCTTTAATAGAGAACAAGTTATTATGAATAAAGGGTTTGGGGAAGGAATACTGGGGATTAAACCCAGGGGCACTTTACCACTGAGCTACATCTCCAACCCTTTTTTACTTTTTACGACAAGACCTTGCCAGGTGCGATGGCACATGCCTGTAATTCTAGGATCTCAAGTTTAAGGCCATCCTCAGCAACTTTGCAAGACCCTAAGCAATTTAGTGAGACCCTGTCTCAAAGTAAAAAATAAAATAGGGCTCTGCAGATGTGGCTCAGTAGGTAAGTGCCCCCTGGATTCAATCTGTTGTACAAAAAAACCAAACCAAAACAACAACAAAAAAAAGGCAGGGGTATCACTAAGTTGAGTTTGGCCTTGAACTTGTGATTCTCCTGACTTAACCTCTGGAGTTGCTGGGATTATAGGTCTGCCACTGCAGCTGGCTATACTTTTTATTTCCATACTTTGTTCCTTTTTTTTTTTTTTTTTGGATAGTGCTGGGTGATGATCAAACCTAGGGCCTGGAGCATGATGGGCAAAAACTTAACCATTGAAAATGAATGTTTATTACATATTATTAAAATATTTAAAAATGTGATGAGAAAAGAGAAAAGAAGTATCATATTTACTAACATGTCTTTTGGTTTACAAAATAATGATCTGTGCTAATTTCTAGTTCCAGAAAGCTGACTCTGATCTGGATTACATTCAGTATAGGCTGGAATATGAAATCAAGAGAAATCATCTTGATTCAGCAGGCCAGGTAATCTATGAAAGAACTAAACCTTTTTTAACTGAATATTTTGTAAAAAGATTTTCTGATAATATTTCTCAAAGTAACATATTATAATTATTATATTACTGAGCTTATAGTCTTAAAGTCTTGTGATAGAAGCTTGGTCACATCATAATAGAGAGATTATACCAGTAATTAGTGAAATTTGTAGCTACTTTTCTTATTTTTTTCTAACTTTTACAAAAGAATGATTGAATTCAGAGACACTAATGAGCCAGTTATGGAAGCCTCAAAAATTTCAAGAGACAATATAGCTACCACTAGGACAGTGGGTCTTCAATAATTTTAAGGATAGAAATCCTGGAAGTCTTGATAGTCTCTGAGGATGATGATGATATACTATTAAGTTTGCTATTAAATATTGAAATATGAGCAGTGATTTTTGGGTACAATTATATATTTATCTTTTCTAAGGTTCAGTTGATCAGAGATATTAGCTGTTTATTTATTATTTATTTGTTAAATTTATTTTTGAGATGAGAGTCTAATTATGTTGCCCAGGCTGGTCTTGACCTCCTGGGCTTAAATGTTCCTGCTGCCTTAGCCTCCTGAGTGTTTGGGACTATAGGCACATACTTAAACATCTGACTATAAAGTTTTTTTTTGGCACCAGTGATTGAACTCTGAGGCACTCAACCACTGAGCCATATCCCTAGCCCTTGTATTTTATTTAGAGATAGGCTGTCACTGAGTTGCTTAGTGCCTCACTGTTGCTAAGGCTGGCTTTGAACTTGCGATCCACCTGTTTCAGCCTTCCTAGCCCCTGGGATTACAGTGTGCACTACCATACCCTGCTCCTCTGACTATTTTTATACCCTAAAATCATAGCTATAAGTGTACATGTTCATGGGATAAAAGCAAGTAATCTTCAAGCATTGTTTGTTAACATTAATATTTTCAGTACTTCTTGGATCTGAAGTACTTGGTACTGAAGATAGCATATTTTGAAATAGCATATTTTGCAGGTTTTCAAAAGAATTCTGTACATTAAAAAAAAAAAAAAAAAACAACTTCTTTAAAAAATTTTTTTTTGGTACCAGGGATTGAACTCAGGGGCACTGGACCACTGGGCCACATCCCCAGCCCTTTTTTGTATTTTATTTAGACACAGGGTCTCACTGAGTTGCTTAGTGCCTTGGCATTGCTGAGGCTGGCTTTGAACTCGCAATCCTCCTGCCTCAGCTTCCCCAATTGCTGGGATTACAAGCATGCACCACTGCGCCCAGCTGAAAAAAAAAAACAAACTTTTTTTGATTGGGTAGAAGTATGAACTAAAGTGAGTTTTTATACAAAATTGGGAGAATTTCATGCATGTTCACTTTTTACTCTTCATGGAATTTCAGAATTCTATGGGAGTCTAGTTTTGAATTTTTTAACTCTGAAAGTAGCTTTTTTTCTTTGACCTTTTTTTTTTTTTCTCACTGAAGAACAAACAACCATTGTGGTCCAATGGTACTATCTGACTGACTAAAGGACTCTTCCAAATCAGTATTTTTCCAGTACTATTTTTAGTACTATTGTGGTAGACATTTTCTCTGCTTTCCATCTCTCATCTTTGTTTCATCTCTAGTTATTTTTCTCTTTTACAACTTGTCTGTGATGAGATTTCTGAGTTACATGTTCAGGTTTCTGGGCATATTACTTAGGAGTTGGTTTCTTACCTAATGGTCATTAATACTTACATAATTCACTGTTGCCTCATAGTTGATTCTTCTTCACTTATACCTGATTTCTTCCCAACTCTGAACCTTTATTTCTATCAAATTAAATGTGTATAATTTGAAGAGTCACACAAGTATAAAACTTATAATTTCCAATAGTAATTAATTGCTTCACACTCTCCCACCCTCAAGAAGGCCACTAGTTTATTTCAGTGTCTTCTATCTTTTTTTCATTTTTTTGGGTGCTGGGACTTGAACTCAGGGCCTCACATATGCTCAACACATACTGTACCACTGAGCTATACCCCAGCCCTAGTATTTCTTTTGTATTTCTAAATAGTATGCTTATACTACATTCCCCTGGCATCTGAAATATCTACTGATTTCCTAGATATAAATGATTCTAAGTCAAATTCCAACTCTGCTTCTTATTAGTTTCATGATTTTAGGCAAGCCAGTTAACTTCCCTGTATTATAAAATGGGGCTATTCTCATAGTCCATAGGTTGAAAGAGAATAAAATTAATTAACATATGCAATGTGTTTAGAATTGTTTGATCCATAGGAAGTGCTCTTCATGAGCTGTTTATTAACAGTAATTCTTGGTATAGATGATGAAGATGAAATACTACCCATATTTATTTTAATCTTCATATTTGTGGATAAATCAATATTCAAAATTTATGTTATGATTCTAAATATTGCTTCTGTCTAATCCCTGTTGAATACATTCCTGCTTTTCCTTTTGTTTTATTTATTTATTCATTTGTGATACTAGGGCTTAAACACAGAGCTACAAATATCTTCAGCTCTTTTTATTTTTTACTTTGAGAGAGGGTCTCACTAAATTGCCCAGGCTGGCCTCCCACTTCAGCCTCCCAAGTAGCTGAGATTATAGGTGTGGACCACTATGCTTGGCTGCTTATTCTTTTTTCATAACTTGCTTCATTTTTCCTATGAGCACATGACTAATTCAGCCTCCATTCCTGATGAGTGGTTTGGTAGATTGGAGATTTTTTTTTTTTTTTTTAATTGAAGTAGTGGGAATTGAACCCAGATGAGGTGCTCACTCATTCAGTTACTTTATATTTTTTATTTAATATTGAGACAGGGTCTAGCTACATGGTCCAGGCTGTACTTGAACTTGCAATCCTCCTGCCTCAGCTTCTCAGGGAGCTGGGATTACAAGCTTATGTAACTTCACCCAGCAAGATTATTTTCTCTTAATTTTAATATCATTGTTTTGTTGTTTCCTAGCTTGTAGGGTTGCTGTTGAGAAATAAATGTCATTCTAATTCCAGAAATTTTGTGTGTGCTCTTCTTCATGCATCTGTTTCTCTTGTACCCTCCCCCATCTCTTAGAACTTTGGGAATATTTTATTTGTGCTGGATTTTTTTATTTTATTGTTTAGATTTCTTCATTAATTATTCTGTCACTTGATGGGATCCTTTCTTTCTTTTTTTTTTTTTTTGGTACTGGAGATTGAACCCAAGGTTGCTTAACCACTGAGCCATATCCCCAGCCCTTTTTTGTATTTTATTTAGAGATAGGATCTTGCTGAGTTGCTAAGGTCCTTGCTAAGTTGCTGGGGCTGGCCTCAGCCTCCCTAGCCACTCGGATTACAGATACATGCCACACAACCAGCAAGAATTTTTTTTTTTTTTTAATATTTTTTTGGGTACTAGCGATTGAACCCAGGGGTGTTCTAGAACTGGAGATAGGTGTGTGCCATCACACTGGGCCCCAAGAGTTCATTTTAAGAATATAGGCCAGAAATGAATTTAAGGAAAGTGAATAGGACTGAAAAATTATATACTGTATACTAAACTCAACTATTTTTTGGTACTGGAGATTGAACCTGTGGTCTGGGGCATGCTAAGCATATGGTCTATAACTGAGTTATGTGCTCTGCTATAAGACTGACCTTTTGACCACTGGACAACATCCCCAGTCCTTTTTATTTTTTTATTTTGAGACAGGGTCTCACTAAGTTACCAAGGCTGGCCTTGAACTTGAAATCCCTCTGCCTCAGCCTCCCGAGTTACTGGGATTATAGACATGTACCACTGCACCCAGCTGATATTTTTTTTAATTAATTTTTTAATTTATATGTGACAGCAGAATGCATTACAATTTTTTTTAATATTTAGTGTTTAGTTGTAGTTGGATTCAATACCTTTATTTTATTTATCTATTTTCATGTGGTGCTGAGGATCAAACCCAGGGCCTTGCATGCGCTAGGCAAGTGCTCTACCGCTCAGCCACAACCTCAGCCCTAAAATTCTTATTACACATATAGAGCACAATTTTTCATATCTCTGGCTGTATACAAAGTATATTCATACCAATTAGTGTCTTCATACATGTACTATGGATAATAATGACCATCACATTTCACCATCATTTCTGACCCCATGCCTCCTCCCTTTCCCCTCCAACCCCTCTGCCCTATCTAGAGTTCCTCTATTCCTCCCATGCTCCCTCTCCCTCCTTCACTATGAATCAGCTTCCTTATAGCAGAGAAAACATTCGGCATTTGGGTTTTTGGGATTAGCTAACTTCAGTTAGCATTATCTTCTATAACTCCATCCATTTACCTGTAAATGCCATGATTTTATTCTCTTTTATTGCTGAGTAATATTCTATTGTGTATATATGCCACATTTTTTAATCCATTCATCTATTTTTTTAAAAAATATATTTTTAGTTGTATTTGGACACAATCTCTTTATTTTTATGTGGTATTGAGGATTGAACCCAGTGCCTCACACATGCAAGGCAGGTGCTCTATCACTGAGCTTCATTCAGCCCCAGCACCTATCCATTCATCTATTGAAGGGCATCTAGGTTGGTTACACATTTTAGCTATTGTGAATTATGCTGCTATAAACATTGATTTGGTTGTGTTCCTGTAGTATGCTGTTTTTAAGTCCTGTTAGTATAGACCAAGGAGAGGGATAGCTGGGTCAAATGGTGGTTCCATTCCCAATTTTCCAAGAAATCTCCATACTGCTTTCCACATTGGCTGCACCAATTTGCAGTCCCACCAGCAGTGTAAGAGTGTACCTTTTCCCCCACATCCTCACCAACACTTATTGTTGTTTGTATTCATAATAGCTGCCATTCTGATTGAAGTGAGATGAAATCTTAGAGTGGTTTTTGTGGGAAGCCATTCTCGCATGTGATTGGGCACCTCCCTGATTGGGTGTGAGGCATTCTGTATCAGAACTAATCCCCACCCTTTCTAGGTGCGAGAGCCCATCCTTGTGGGGGTGTGACTGATCATTGACCTTGGAATGCTGTCCC